CCCCCTGTTTCTTTTGTTTTAATCCTTCATTTGACAGTAATGAAAGGCAAACAGGCATTTTTGATTACAGTGCCACCCTGTTGTGACGTGGTGTTATGAGACATAATATTGTTACCTCTCCTCCTCTTGTCTGTTCTGCTGAGTCAGTGGCTCAACGAGTACAAAGGTGTGTCGCTCCTTTGTGTGGAAAATTACTCATTTACTCATGTACAGTGATGAAGTACTGGCGCTGTACTTGCAGTTTCGTGTTACTTTATACCTCCTGCCCAACACATTTCAGGGGAGTGTATTTATGAATCTATTCCTTTTTATGTAATTGTTAATAATAGTCACAGACTTTATACAATAAGATAAACTGCAGTCTATGTGTCTGAAGGATGAGGGGAAAACATTGTATCTATTTGTTTCTACTTCAGCTTTCTTGTCCACTTGCAACAAGGTACTACTTAGATAAATCAAACTACTGTATCATTTTAAATTGCCAACTGTGATTTAAAGTTTGCTCTCACACATGAAGTCACAGATATTATAGTCAGAGGCTTCTCTGCTAATCGAGGCTACAGCAGCTTTTATACAGCTTTGAAAAATGATTTAAATCAAATACTAAAACCCAGCTCGTGTTAGACAATTTCCTTTTGGAGACAACATTAAACCCTGGAGTACATCCAGGCGATATCATCCAGCATGACTGTCTGTGGTTAGAACAACACCCCCATCACATTAAATATGATGCCTCTCAAACTAGCTGTGGTGAATTAAAATTGTCTCCTCTTCAACCAGCTACAATATGAACAAGCTGGTTCCAGATGAATGCATCTGTAGTGGTAATAATAATTATAATGATGATTCAGCAGCAGGGGCCGTTCTAGCTCATCACGTTTATTTTCACATTTACAGTTGTTTAGCATGTTTTGCTGATAATCTGCACTTTTACCTGAGTGAAAGTTTCAAATCAAGCGAGTTTGTTGCTTTTTTGCCACAAATGATCAATTATGGCCTCAGTGGTTGCTGTTCTACAAAGGTTACAGTGTGAAACCGTGTGTCTGCACTGATGCTGCTGAGTACCAGGCCTTTCCTCCCCCTGGCGTCAGTAATGATCATAATGATGACGCTGATGATGACGATCACGGTGATGATGGATAGATGAAGTCCTGCCCTCACATTTGTGTCCTCAGAGCAGAACGTGGACTGACGTCTGGGTGATTATGTTAATAGCAGCATATTTCTGTCACAGTTTTAAATGTATGACCGACAGAATTATCAATGGTGGCTGATGACGCTCTGTATTGACAGCAATTTAAATACCAACTAAATACATACTGACATTGTGTGAGGGTTTTAGGAAGAGGCAAGGAGAGGGAAGACAAAAAGGGGGAGAAGAAAGGAAAGTTAAAAGAACTAAAGGAGAAGAGAGGAGAGGAAAGTTGGGGAGCGATGAGTAAAAGAGGGGAGATGAAAGGAGAGGAGAGGGAAAAAAGAGAGGAGCGGATGCTGCTGCCAACCTATCTCTCTGGAAGGGCATAATGCCAGTACTAAATATAGCTGCAAGATTAGGGAAACAGAGGAGGAGAGAAAGAGAAGAGGACATAGTGACTCATGCATCATGTTACAGAAAAGATACCTTTACTCTAAAATCTGCTTTTTAAAGCTCTGAGCTTCTCAGAAATGTGTCATAACACATGATGAATAATGGAGAGACAGAATCACTGACTCTTTCCATAGGCTCTTTGACCATTTGTCCATCAATTTGACTTCCTATGTTTCCAACTAGCATCTCACGTCTCTCTCTGTCTTCGCCTGCCTCCATCCATCCCTCTGCACCCCTCGCTTCATCATCCGTCTCTCCCTCTGCCTCGCTCAGTCTATGTATCAGGACTTCCTGTATTTTTCCACCTTGCTTTCTCTGCGTTCACAGTCGTGTTTTTCTAATGACTCCAGCCATGGTTTCCTCCCTGCTTTTGTAGCAGCAGCTGTGTTGAAGCAGGTACTGTATGCTATCTGGTCTGCAAGAGTGTGTTGTTAGATGGTATCAGCAATTGTGTGTGTGTGTGAGAGAGAGAGGGATGAAATGAAAGAGTGAGACAGAAAGAGAGAGAGCCTGAGTTCAAAATGTGCAGGGTAAGGACCAGTTGTGTGTGTTTGCTGACAGGAAAGTGAATATTTTTCAACGTCTCTTGTGAACACAGAGAACTTTACTTTATTTTACAGAACAAACAAGCAGTGTTATCTCCGACAGAAACATGGATCCACAGGCCTCATCTGTCTCGGTCCACTGAAGGACGCCAACCTTGATGAAAGATTTACTCTTCGTTTTCACCACATGGGAAACAGCATCTGTGAAGTCAGCCTGAGATTTCACAGCATTTAAGAAAAAGGTTTTATTCCCCTAATTTTGAAAAAAAAAAGGTCAAAATCCAAACATTTTTTGTCAAAACTTGTTTTTCAGTGTTCATGACATGAGTGTAGTGATTCAGATTGTAAAAATGGTTTTACAGTATTTCACTGACATACACTGTATGAAAAGTGAAACGATCCTCAAGGTCTATAAGATCCATCCAAAGTCATGGTCATCCATTTACTACTTGTTAAGATATTTAGTCATAGTCAAAGTATTGGACCAAACAGCCCTTCTTCTGGTATGACTAAATATGAACAATATGAAAAATATAATGTCAATGGAGCATGTACCTGCACCAAGGACCAACAGTCCCCTTAAATTCAATAAAGCTGCACCAAATTTCACACACTCAGTTACCAGTCCCCTAAATGTGCCTAAATTAGTTTTTCATCAATATCTATGAATTATTTCCTAGGAAATCAGTGAAAATGTTGAAAAATGATCTCAAGATGTTAAAGATACGCACCTAAATTTAACGGGTTCTTTCGTAGCCCATACAGCATCCTTCCATTAAGGTTCACGGAAATCCATAATCTTGGACACAAGCAAGCAAACCAACTAACACACAAACATCACCTCAACAATTGAATGTAAAATAATACTAAAAGCAAAATCAAACAGAGCAGGGCAAACCTCTCTGTGAAACTGATGTGGGTAATTTTGTACATCAGATTAAAGCATCAAACAACGTGTGACAGTATGAAGAGGAGTGAGATGTGTTGGGTGAGTTAAAGTGGGGTATAAAATGTGAAGTGGAGTGGAGGTGAGTGGGGGGGCATAGGGGAGAGTGGAAGGCTGGAGGAGAGGGTGTCTGCGGTTGTGGGTCTCGCAGGTAAATAGGTGAGGGCATAGCTGTGGTTTGACATGCTCGGTCCTGTCAGGTGGGGGATGAGGGTACCAGTAGGAGTGAGAGGAGATCAGAGAGCCTCCTGGATGTTATCTCCCCCCCACCATACCTTACGGTACCTGCAGGTCGACTCATCTGAGGCAGTAGCCAATCACAGTCTGCCGCTGTCTGTCTGCTCATTCCTCTGCTGCACCCTCAAACTTAAAGGGTTCATACTGTTCATTATCTGTTGATAATTTAGGTTTGATGTCTATAATCGTTCTTTCTTACACGTTGACAATGTAAATGCAACCATGATGCACCAACTGGCTCAAATTTCTCCTGAGAAGAATGAATGTCAAAATACTTCACAATACACTGATTGTATTTATTATACTATCTGTATCACAGTAAGTTCACTTGAACTCCACTATTGTAGTGGTAGTAGTAAATGTAAGGAAAGCAGTGATCCCAACTTTCTCAATATCATCACCACTGTGAATATAGTGTACAATATTGAGAGACATACAGTATATTGGTCATCATTTGCCAAATATGAACTGGTTTATGTTTATAAATATATATATATACACATATATATATATACATATATGCACCATGATAACACAATATCAGTTAAAAGGATAAGCTGGGTCGCTGAGTCAAACTCTTTTAATTTGATCACTTTTGTTGCATCAAATTACCGTGAAGAAAACCTGGCGCCAGACCAGACTGCATTTTGCATTCATTGTAGGGGCAACAAGGGGTTTAATGGGGCCCACCACCTTATCTTTGCCTCTGGGGCCTCATAGTGGGTTAATCCAGGCATGGACAGGACATGGAAAATGCACCTTTATGGGGAATCATACAGACCCTACAATTTCTAAATAGCTAGCTATTGAGTAACTGAGGCTTGTTTCTTGGTGAGAGGGTGTGCATCTATACACCTGGATCTTTACTTTCTTTACATTGTCGACCACAATGGAAATCCAGTCCTGTTGAAAAGTTGAGGCACTTCACATGTTCAGATTCTTATCCATCACAGAATACCATTGGGGGGAGGTGTCTGAGTGGTCCTGGCAGATGGTGTGGGCCCTCACAGAGCCCGGATCAAGGAGTCAGTGTTGGATCATGTGAAGAGACAGAAGAACTGAGGCCCGTTCTTTAAGACGTTTGGAACAACCTATGTGTAACACCTTGAATACAGCAAGAGGAGAATTGGTGCTGTTTACACTGAATACTGACTTTGTTTATTTGTTTTTCTCACCACTTTACTTTATTTTCACTATAGTGCAATGTGTTTTAGGTATTTTGACTTTGCTTAGATTGAGACTTTTCCCTCTGCAACACTCAGTCATTCCAGTAAATAATCATCAGTGATAATCCCACTCCAGTGTGAACAGGACACAGGGCGACCTCTGGTGGAGGAGAGTTGCACCTGCAGGGATTTTCCGCCTCGGTAAAGTAGACGTGGCAGTGACGTCAATGCCGGAAATGACCCGGATCGGAACTTTAAACTCCTGCGTTATTTAGTTTTCACCAGAATCATCGGGGGCTCTCGAAATATGATCTAATCTCGACTCAAGTAAGTCCCGTCGACTGATTCCAATCGTCTTCCGAATGTGGTTCAACACCGCGGGGTTGGTTTCGCTCGAACACACCGGA